TAAAAGAACATTCTCCGCTTACCAACTTCCATGGCAAAGTTGACACGCAGATCAACATCCTCGGCCCAGACGTCGTTGGCAGGCTTGGTGTAGAGCACAGGGTAGACGCCGCGGTACAGGTGAGACTGGCGGGCAGTCATACCACAGCGGGTCACCGCAATAATGGGGGCCCGGGGTCTGTACCTTGACAGCAAATAAGCAGATCTGCAGGCAATGGGGAGAAGTTATTAGAAAAGTGTTTTAATATTATATTTAAAAAACAATATCCCAAGCTTTAAACATCTCACCAAGAAGCGATTTGTTCTTCATTTATATAAAGTTGCTGTTTTTCTTGTTTTTAGTCCAGTTTAAAGAAGCATTATGCAGTTTTCTAACAATATTGCCAACTTCGTACTTAACTTTTGTTTTTTTGTTTTTACTTAATTCATTTTATTTAGAGTCATAATTGGAGTATCCATAAAACTCATCTTGGATATAAAACTTTAGTTGTTAGTTAAGTCTGACCCATTTAACATGGAAATGTTTGACGTCACATCCGCCAAACAGCGCGTGAACTTTCGACGTTAAGTTAATTCAGGAAAATAATATATACGATATAATCTATGAGATTATAAATGCATCGGCGTTGAACTACTGAGGTGTCAGTCTGATCATCAAATAATGTTTTATTCGTAAAAGGTAAAATAAAAAAGATATTTATCAGTAAAAACTAACATGATGTGTCTTTAAGGTTTTTCCAGATGCTAAAAGGACACAGCAAACAGCAGAGGAAGGTGCTCTGTGGAGACCAAAAACAAGCGCACCACCCCCACAGTGAAGCATGGTGGTGGTGGAATCATGTTATGGGAATGCTTTTTAGCAAGAGCAGGGAAGCCGGTGAGAGTTGATGGAAAGTTTTTGAAGGTTGCAAAAACCTTCAGAGTGAGTTTAAGTTTTACCTTCTAGCAGGGCAACCAGTATTTATTATTATTATTATTATTATTTTATTATTATTTTTTTTTTATTACCTTATTTTATAATGATTTTTTTTTTTTATTGTTATATACATTATTTACAATTTACTCAGGGATACAATGGAAGGTTGAGACTTAAATCCAGTTGGGGATACTTGTCCAGAATTAATACTTATACAATATAGTCTACACTACAAAAACTATCTGGAAATAGGTAAAAAGTTCTTAAATTAAGTATATTTAGCCTTAATTTGAGCAGGTAAATAAGATGATTTTCCAATGGAATGAGTATGTTTACTCCTAAAATAAGATAATTAGATCATATGCACTT